ATAAATTCTCAAATGACAGTGAATAATACTTTGGCCTTATTTCTACTGTGAATTCTGGAGGCTCATTAACTGTTGAGGACGTTGCAACCATTGGGCCTTCTACTCTTGTCCAGTTTACAGACTTTCTTTCTCCTCAGTCGGGAATGACCTGTTGGACTATGAATTTAACCTGTTTTGCTTTAGATAGTGCTTTACATTTCGAGGACCATAACCTTTCAATTATCCTTATCTTTTGCTTGTGTCCTTTAATATTTCTTGTTCTTCACTTTATGAACCCAATTCTTGGGGTTTACCTTGTCTTTCCTCTTTGCTTCTTATTAGGGTTTATGCTGTTTCCTCTCTCTAACAGCTTCTCTCACACCCTTGCATTCATGACTCTTTTTGTCCTGACTTGCGGACAATCTTCTTTTGGTTTCTAGATTCTCTGCCTTTGGTGTTTATTTGGGCAGCTTGGAGATCAGTCTACTTGCCTTCTATTTTGCTCTCTGGTTCGCCATTTTCGTGTCTTTGTTTTTTTCTAACCACCCTCCTGTATTCGCTCTCCTCCTTCCATCTTTTGTTTGAGGTACTTTATTGTGCTCCAGAAGGGTTTTCTGTTGAAGTTCATTCCCTCCTCTTTGCCAGCATAGCTTGTTTTACTTCTTCTGTCCCTCCTTACTTTGTTTCCTTAATGTTGGGAGTCATTGAGTCGAGTTACATTCTAATTTACTATACACATTTTCTTGTGTACATTGACTTCATCGGGCTCCCCTTTCTTCACCTGGGCATCTTTAATGGTGTTCGTTTCTCACTCAAGACCTGGACTAAAGTCATACAACTTCAGTCCTCATTATCTTTCCAAGTTTTCTTTCTTTCTCGACCTTGCCCTCTGAGTTGGGTTCCTCATCTAGAACAGTATACCCCTAACCTTCCTAAGCCTTCCTCTTTTTATTGTCTTCCCACTACCCAATGTCTGGTTTATTGCCCTTCTTGTGAGTGACTATCCTGTCACTTCCAGGCCTGTTGGTATCCATCTCTTTGTTTTGTCTACAGTTGGTCTCATATTTTGCCAACAGTTGTTATCATTTTATCCCCCATAGACTCTTTATTTTGCTCCTCTTCCCATTTACTTTTCTTCTTCCTCTGACGTGATCTATGGTTATCCTAGGTCAATGAGTCAGACAGCTTTCTACACATCACTTTTTACCCATCCTCCATATGTTTTCTACATTCTGTCCACCAGATTCACGGCTTCCATTCTTTTCTTTTCCCTTTAACATACCATTTGCCTCTTTTGTGTTTTTTGTATCATTAGGACCTTTGCTTGGCAACTTCATGGCCTGGGGCTGTCACTCTGTTTTCGGATGCTTGACTTGTATTGGCCCATTCTTCAGTGGTATCCTCTTTTCTCATCTCCCTTTTTTTTGCAGAAGGCTAGTTAGCTGGTGGGGGAATTGTCAAGATGTCCAAGTCTTTTCTTATGCCCACTCCATCTTTGGTCTTTCTGGGCTTTTCTTCATTTCTTGTCTCAGCTGAACTCAACCTTCTCCTCTTAGTCTGTGAGATATAGAATATCTGATTACCAGGATGTGTACGTCATATTCTTGTCCTGCACAAAAGGTTCTTTCACTTTTGGAGTGGGCACACATTCATCTCCCCCAGTGGACCTTTTTTATCCTATTCTCGATTGTGAACCTCCCTTCTTCTCTACTCGAGGATCTGTCATGGTGGCTGGACCATGCCAATATTATCTCTGGCATTTCCTTAGCACAGCCTTGCCAGATCTCCATCTCTTCACTGATGCTTCCCTCTAATGTTGGAGTACTTCTCTGCATGACAATATGACTTCTGGCATTTGTACTTTAACGTGCTTGAACTTCTCACTGTTCATTTGGCAATTCCCTCTTCCTGCCCCTGCAAGTTAATCACTTTATCATGATACACTCTGAAAATTATATGGTTATTTCTTACATGAATCATCCATAGGGCATCTGTTCCAGGACCCTTTGCTTTTGGGCATTGGACCTACTTTTCTGGGCTCATTCACATTAGGTTCGTCTTATTGCCTATTGTTTGCCAAGAGCTGTGAACTTTGTGGTGGACCATCTCTCTTAGCCAGTTCACACTCTACCAACAGGTGGTCTATACACCCCCAGGTTATTCATTAGGCTTGCTCTCAGTTGGGTATATCTTTCATAGATGTCTTTGCCACCTATCTCAACTCGAAGCTTCCACTTTCCTGGTCCTCTGTTCATCATCCTTTGGCTCTGGTTGTTGATGCTCTCAGCCAGGATAAGTATCATCTCTTTCTATATACCTATCCTCCTCCTCACCTTCTCTCTTGGGTCTTCATTTTGATATACATGATGCTTCTTGTCAGGTCCTCCTGGTGACACCACCTTGGCCAGTTCAGCCTTGGTTGCCTCTGTTTCTTCACTAGTTATCCAGACTCCCCATGTTTCAACCTCACACATCCCTTTTTTCACATATGGGATTTGTCCAGTTCGTTGGCAATCAGGCCAAACTTTCTGATCATGTAGAATTCTTCTTGTTACGGTCCTGTTGTCTTTCCACTATGTCTCTTTATCTACAAATGTAGTGGTTCTTTCGTCATTGGTTCATCTGCCACTTCTTTCTTCCTGGCTTTCTAATGTGAACCACTTTTCTACCTCTTTTAACCTGGCTGTTTGAATATGGCTAGTTATCAGGTGGCCATGTCCACTACAGGGAGTTTTCTTCCCATCTGTTCTACTCCTTTCTTCTCCAACTCCCTTGCCTAACTCTCATGCTTGACTGGGACCTTGGGGTTTTGTACACTATCATGCATGCCCTGTTTGAACCTTTGGTTTCTTGCTCTTTGTACCACCTTCCCCTCACATCTTATTACCTTCTCCTTCTTGCCAGTTGTTGCTGTCATTTCATTGTTTATACTATTGATGCTTCTTGCACCCTTTTTTATTGTCCTTGTATACTCCCCTCTACCTAGACAGGTCTTTCATTCTTCATATTTTTGCCAGTTGGAATTTAACCATCCTTTCAGTCCTGTCTCTCTTCTTTCTATCTCCCACCTCTATTACCTCCTCTGTCCTTTTCAGTGTTGCTTATCATGGATTTCTTCTTTTGGGGGTCCATACCATTGACTGTTTCTACCCTGGACCCCTCTCCTTCCAGTCTTTCCAGAGACCTCTCCTACCCTTACTGGATGTGTCTGTCAACTCCTCTGGTGGGTATATTCGTCTCTGGATGTGGATTCTCACAGGCTCTCACAATTTTTCATACTTGATTCATCATCTTTCTCATTCTCTTTTTGTCCTATCTTCACAGGCCCTAGAATGAAATCTTCTAGGCAGGCATGTGGATGACTCCTCACTTGTCTGTCACTCCTTCTCTTCACTGCTTGGATGTTTCATCTCCCTCAGGATTTCGATTTCAATTAGTCGCCATACTTCAATTTACCCACCATCTTTGAAAATGGGTATGGATATTTTCATTTTCATTTCTCTCCCTTTCTGTTGATAAGATTCCTGCCATGTGACTGGTGTTGCCTCCTGGGGTATGCTTATAATTAACCAGAATAACAGAAAGTGCTCAAACCATCTACCCTGCCTTTATCAGAATCCCCTGCAAAATGGGGTGTTCTGCAAGAACACTTGAGCTATCATCGTGGTATACAGATTAACTCAATTGCCCAATCCATACTATACCAATTCCATGTACTATCATGGAAAAACCCAGCACCAGATAAGTGACTGCCCACTTCTTTGGCTCACATTTTCCAGCTTGTAAAAATAGGAATTTGTATTCATCCATTACACTCTCCAGCAAAAGATCTTTGTGGTAGGTGGTCTGATTGGGGATTTGAGTGCTTCTCCAGATTTCCCCAATGCAAGTTCTTCCCTCCTCCTCTTCTTCTAGCAGAGAGAAGACCCTTGCAGCTTAACAGTTCTTAGCCATTGGGGTGATAGACTATGGAGAATCCTCACTGATTGGGCTTAGTACAATATGGTGACAAATGGGGCAGTGATGACACTGTCAGTGGAGTATGGGTCACCCCCTTACAAATACAACACATAATTTATGTGCCTTCCTACTGCAGCCAAAGCCTGTTCAGTGGGATTGAGGTAAGCATGCTGTATTATCTGATGGTGCCCCAACCATGCTACACATTGGCTCACTGACCACTTATGTGGATGTGTTCAGATAGCCATGTTCTTATTCATTCTTTTCCTATGACACTTGGAGCTCATTTGCTTCTCCCCCACCCACCCCACGTTACATTCCAGGTGAAGAGTACACCCTGGAGCCATTGGGTGTCACACTCCTTGGGCTTCCCTTTGGGCACTTTTTGAAGGGAGCTTCTCTAGGTAAAATTTTTCATTGACGCTTTCACAAATTCAACATGGGATTCTATTATTTTTGTGTGAAGAGGTGGGTTATCATTTCATTTTTGTAATTTGAAAATGTATTTCCTATAGATACCTCTTCACACCTTTCCTCCTCATTTCTGGAGCAAATTATTTTGTCTTGCCTTGTCAAAGAATGAAGTTATCACGAGTGCAAGTGCAAAGGTAGAGTTACTGTGCATGGAGGTCATGTCACCCTCCTATTGGTGAAGGGATATTGTCACATGATGTTGTCATCATGTACCAGTGCAGTTCACATCAACCACGTTAATTTAGGTGGGAGTTACCTTAAGATTAGTGGCATGCAAGTCTCGGAGGCAGATGTGAAGAAGATAGAACTTATGTGTATAGAGGTGAATATCTATTGGAAATACACTTTCAGATTAGGAAAATGTTAACTTTCACAGTAAATATTTCACTTAATTACACATGGAAAGTTAGAAATCAAGAGAATTGTTGTTTAACAATAATTGTTAAGAGCAACTATAAACATGTAGTATAGCGATTAAGCAAAGGTTCTTTCTTTTTTGCTCCTAAAGTCTACAATTTTTCTGTTAAAATTTCATAATAAAATGAAATGCTAGAATAACTGCAAAATTAATTTTCTTTACATCTCAGGAGAATACAGTGACCTTTGTCCACTTGGTTCAGGCTACACCAAAGAAGGTCGTGGTAAGTTGCCATTTGATAAACATTAAATTCTTATTTAAGTTTTTCTATGATTTGGATAATATTTTAAATCATAATTCTTCTTTAGTCACTTGCCATTAATACTTTGTACTTACATAAAGGCTATCACAACTCTACACAGTTATGAATCATTACAGGTTGAGTAGGTTATATTAATACGATTTGAAACATTCAAATCAACAGTCACAGGAAAACCTCAGAAAATATAAAGCCATGGTAGAACATCATTTATCAGAACTACATTTTGACATTTTTTGGAGTTTTCATAAGCAGTGTGATGCCACTTAAAATTGATCACTTTTAGGAAGGTTATATAACAGTCTTTTTCCAACACAAAATATTCCTACACTGAGATCATAAAGATGTGTTCAGTTTGGAAATTTAGGATCTCCAAGACAGGGATATACCTTATTCTTAGTAGCATTGAGAAGCAACTGAATATAAATCAAGTTGTGCCATCGACAATCCAGAAAGAGATTTGCATCAAGTCATATCCCAGCAATGGTAAGCAAAGTACAGTATCTTGTAATAGGTGAGAATTTTATGAAGACAGAGGTCAACAGTCAAGGCCATCCATGTGTGTAACATAATCAAAAAGGATCTCCATCTGAAAAAGTGACACATGTCACATATATAAAAGTTGCATTCATGAATATCAGTTCAACTATCAGCTACCTTGAGCAGCTGGAGAATGAATGGGTATTTATACTATTCTCTATAAAGACAAAATTTATGGTCAAGTTACTGGACACGATGTCTTCATACACAAGATGGATTATGTAAAACAAACAGGTAGGTGGGCTGTGCTTTGAACATAGTGGGCTTACAATGGAGCCTTTTGTAATAGAAACTATACTGCAGAGATACTTTTAAGATGCATGGTCATCAAATATAACTTGACTAGATGGTAGCAGTATGGAAAGTAACAATGTGTTGATGCTATAAGATTGTTTTAATATAATGTACTCAAACTCTTTAAAGGAAATATAATAGGTATTATATGGATGTGTAATGTTAATAAAAATTTAATAGAGTGTATTCTTAAAATGATTATACTACAGTGTCCCTATTTGCACAAAAATATGATGCCTCAGTGTTTTTAGTTTTAGATTTTTTGCCTCGTTTTTAATTAATTATGAAACTTCAAAAATGCAATGGGACTTCAGAATTATTTGCAGTATATTTCTGTATACACACACACACACATAAAGTCCCATTGTGTGTATATATATATATATATATTTTATGTAAATGTTGAATTTTAATATAAGAGAGTAAGTATATATTGCTAAGTTTTAAATTAAAGCTCTTGAACTTGATGCTTATTTCAGATGTTGATGAATGTGCTACAATGCCAGACTTGTGTCAAAACGGTCGTTGTGTAAACACACTGGGGTCCTATCGTTGCATTTGTAACAAGGGCTACAAGACTGATCATTCAAAGACCCACTGCATAGGTACTGTTACTTGTAGCTTTAGATTTTTTATTCTATTTGATTCTATTTTTTATCTTTATTTCATTTAAATAGAAATAAATATAAAGCTAATAAGTACTCTGAAATGGGTGGCAATTGCCTGTTGTGAAAAAAACACAAGTGTAGAAGACAGAAGACTTTCGAAACATCGTCCTTTACACTTGTGTTTTTTTCTACAACAGGCAGTTGCTACCCATTCCAGTGTACTCATTATGAATACTCTGTCTAAACAAGCTATCAAAGATATAAAGCTGCTACTAATTTTAAATTCATAATGTAAAATAGGACAATGTGGTATTTCACACCTATATACATTACAAATAATTAGTAAAGTTTCATAGATTTTTATATAAGATAAAAAGAGTTAATCAATAAATTAATTTTGAGAAGGAATATAAAAAATTTTAATTTTGTATTTACTTTATTATAAAATTTTGTCACGGTATATTCACTCATATAAATCACTTTTTTCTAGTAGTTGCTTAGTGAATGTGGTGGTTCATTATTACAAAGACTTTTTTGTTAGCTATAAAATTTAAAATATCTTTTATTTGTCAAAGATAGTTATTATTTAGAAATGCAGTATGTTGAGTTTACAATTATTAATTTTACATCTTTTAAAAGAAAATTGGTGTTAGTAATGACAAAAATAAATTATGAATATTTTTGAAATTTTCAGATGAAAATGAATGTCAGGCACGTCCTTCTCCCTGTCAATTCACATGCCAAAACACTGACGGAAGTTATTTATGTTTGTGTGCCCAGGGATATGTACTTAATGCAGATGGAAGAACCTGCAGAGGTAAATCTTGGTGAAAACATTCAGATTCATACTAACAAAAAGTAGCCTTTTACAGTCTATCGGTTCCTTAGTTTTGATGATGGTTTTTGCAGCATTTTTTTTAAGTTGAGTTGTCAGCTTTTATCTGAGCACAAGATAAGTTCGTTATATGGAAAGTTGAATACTATATACAATACTTAATAGTCATTCTTCTTCAGACAGTTATTTTGGCCACAGAGAACCTTTAAGAAAATGGCTCAAGATACTTGAGTATATTCTAGAAATGAAGAAAGTCCCATTGTTCGAAAGTGTTCAAATCGTTTTAGTCAGTTTCTTTTTTCTTCCTTTAATGGTTAGTGTTTATATCTGCCATATTAATCATAGAAATTGACCTACTGATATAACTAAAACAACTCTTCTATTGTAGAACAGGTTTTGTTTACAAAATAACCAAATGGTGTGTTAAAATCATTTAAAAACTATTTTGGATGATTGCATAGATTCATTGAAAAAACAAGAATCATAAAAAGAAATAAGTATAATGTACTAAATAGTGTTTAGAGATGTTTGATCATGTTACTGACTTTTAACATGAATTGAAATTATTCTTTTTTTTTAGATGAACAAGTAGACCATATTAATGTGTTATTAACTTTTAAAATAGAACTTCCCAAGAAGTTAAACTTAAATAAGTAGAGATTAAAATTTAGATTTTGGAGCTTTGCTACTTATTTTTTAGGTTATGGACTTTTGAAAATACAAAATATCACATAAAACTTAGAATCTGTTTCTTATGAAATATGTAAAGACCTGGAAATCTAAGCTATGAATTTGTGAAACTGTAAGCTATTAGATAAGCTTATAAATAATGTTGTAATATGGAAGAACTAGGTTATAAAATTGTTAAATTATAAGCCATTACATAAACACTTACAATCTTTATAAAAATGTTACAGTCTCAAAGTTTATGAATGTATGATGCTAAAAGTTATAACAGTATTAATCTTTGTAAATAATATGCCAATCTGGAAGAAATAGGTTATGAACTTATGAAATAGGATATCTTTTTATCATGAGTAGTGATATTATTGTCAAAAAAAGATTAATGTGTATTAAAAATTCTTAATTCTGTACTGATGAACTGCTAGACTTGGATGAATGTGCAACTGGCCAGCACAACTGTGATCAGGTTTGTGTGAACACTCCAGGAAGTTACCACTGTACATGCAAGGAAGGCTATGAGAAGCAGGGGTCTCGATGTAAAGGTGACCATTAGCATCCTTATTTTTAGTTATTTACTATGAATTTAAAAATATTGGTGTTTAGACATTTTCAACATTCTACTTATAGTAATATGCATCAAAGTTAAATTTATTCTAGGAAATATATTGAGTTATTGGTATAATTGTAGATTGAATATTAATCTTTTTTTTATTTTTAGGAAAAAGGAAAGTGTAGATATGAATAATGTCTCTCTTTGTGGCATTTCTATCCACTAAATAAAGTGTGTTTTGAACACAGACTTTGAATGACTTGTTAGATAAAACTTACTCCATAAAGTATGGTTTTCCTTCTTTTAAAATCTATTTCACTCACTGTGGCTATAGTCATGTATACTTACTCAAAACATTCACATTACTCTCATTTAGTACACAAAGATGTCAATCAAATTGTTAGTACCTTTTCAATAATGGTAAAACTGTTTTACTGTGTGGTGCCAGGTGTAATTTAATTGCAGATACGGGTATCTGTGTCACCATTGAGCATGAAATATTTTGATTATTATATGAGAGAAAAATAGGACTTATAAATACCAATAACATTACCAGAGAGTTCTTTTTGGACTCTGAAGGGAATGTATTGATATTCTATTATTTAACCTTTTTATTGCTTTCTGTTATTAAAGCCATTAATTTTGCTCAATTAAACATTAGTTTGAATTAGAGTTTAATATCAGAGTAAATAATTTCTGAGTTATCAAAAAATATCCATTGATAATATGAACATATTATGGCCACCTTGTAATAAAGCAGAACTGACACTAAAATTGCTTTTTGTGTGTAGGAGCATTATTAACTTATTGTGAATACAGTGGAAAAACATTTTATATTTATATGTTTTTTAGATATTAATGAGTGTACAGATCAGCCTCATTTGTGTTCTCCTGTTGGAACCTGTTTAAACACAATGGGCAGCTTTAAGTGCAACTGCCCTCGTGGCTATATCACTGACTCTTCTGGTACCTCATGTGTAGGTAAGTATTCATACTAATAACAGCATACTCTTTTAGTACTGATTTATTAGAAATACCTAATACTTTTACCTTAATTATATGAACACCATCAGTGCTGTTATTATGTATTAAATTTTATACTTAATTCCTATTAAATCTTTTGATATAATGAAGCCAAAATATGACTAATATTAGCATAATTCTAAAATTGAGTGTTTAAACCCTGATATAGGGATCAAAATCAACTACTCTTAATTAGTGACTATTTTGAATAAATACTGCCAATGTGTGTGGTAAGTCCTGACTTAGCAAGTCATCATATTTAGTGCCTCAATTTTCTCATACCTGACAGATTCATATGTGTTTGAATTTTAAATTTCAATGATTAAACCTTCAAAACTACTTTTTGATGTATATTTTTTTAAATCTAAATGTGTATGTGCATAGTGAGAGTACTAGTGGATAGTTTTATATTTGCCAAACTTTAGCAATCTCCTGTTCGAAAATTTAAAAGGGTATAGTGTCAGAATTTCAAATTGTAAGAAAATATGAATAGTCTGTAAGATAATTAGTGAATTTTCATTTTTAAAGATGCAAATGAATGTCTGGATGATAGTAAATGTCAGTATGGCTGTCAGAACATGGCTGGAGGGTACAGGTGTGCTTGTCCTGAGGGCTACCTACAACATTACTACTGGAACCAATGTGTTGGTATGTGATACTCCAAAATTTCCATTCTACCAGTGAGAAAAAAAATTTTCATTTGGTCTTATGAGCAAATAATCTAACATATAACATTAAAGGACAACAACAGACCATATCATTCAAATATTCATCAAACTTTCCCTTAAGTACCCTTAAATGAACTGCAGCTACCACATCTGAAGGCAACTTATTCCAAAGGCCAACCACCCTGTTGGAAAATTAAAGCTGTCTTAACTGAGTATGGTTCCTACCCTGCCAAAAGTTACATTACGAAAAAAAGCTATTCATCAATACTATCAATTCTCTTAACAATTTTAAACACCTCAATCAGATCCCCTACCTCTTCTTTGCGATTTCAATCTATCTTTGTATGACAACCTTTCCATCCCAGATATCATCCTAGTAGCCCTCCCTTGAATCCTTTCCAACAATTCAATGCCCTTTCTAAGCTAAGGAGCCTAAGACTGAACACAGTACTCTAAACATGGCCTAACCTATGACCTATATATTGACATTATAACTTTTTCAGACTTATATTTAGTATTTTTTGTAGATACAACCTAAAATCCTATTGGCCCTGTCACTAGCAACAACAACACCTTGCTTGGATGGCTTAAGAGACCGATGAACCAGAAAAACCAAATTATTTTTCTTCCATAACACTGTTAAGGATATTACCATCAAAATTATACTCATAATTCAAGTTGTGATATCCCACTTGCATTTATTTTAATTAAAAGTCACCTGCCATTTACTCGCCCAACTCACCAAATAATCGAAGTATCCTCCTCAAAGTTAGCAACACCCAATCATCAGCAAATTTAAATAATCTATTGACCATTCCTTCATCTTTGTCATTGATGTAAATCAAAAGAGAAACGTTCCTGACACTGAGTCTTGAAGTAACCCCCTTATGACATTAATCCAGTTTGACTGAACTCCAAGTACAGGCTCTTTGCTTTCTTCCACCTGACCAGTTTTCTATCCAATGAACCAACCTATTCCACACACCTACAGAAATAACTTTTTTAACGAGCAATTATTGTGACACCTTGTCAAATGCTTTCTGAAAGTCCAGACCTGTACCTTTATCTACATAAGCAGTAACATCTTCCAGGAATGCCAAAAGATTAGTTAGGCAAGGTTTTCCTTAGTGAAATCCTGCTGACTATGCAACGAAGTTTTAAATTTTATTAATTGAGTTTGCAAAATATCTTTTATCAAACCTTTGAAACTTTTCCCATCACTGTTGTAAGACTAATAGACCTACAATTAATGGGACAATTTTTGTCATCTCCCTTCCTTCTTCCAATCTTCTGGTACCTGCCCAGTATTCAAGGACTTAAACATTAGATATGTGAGCCACTTGCTACTATTTTTTTTAACTGCTTCAAAATTCTTGGGTAAATATTATCTGGTCCAGAAGATTTATCAATTTTTAAACTTTCCAATTTTCTCTTAACGAGCTCAGAATTAATATGATCATCTTGTTCAATCTTGCTTCCATGTAGCAGCTGTTCAGGATGAGGAATATTGTTTAACTATTCATTAATAAACCTGAAGAAAATGTAGAATTTAATAACTCAGCCATCCCATAATTATCATCTATTAGTCTTCATGTATCATCCCTCAAAGGCCCTACTCCCATCTAAACATTTTGTATACCCATAATTTATTTGAAGAAATCCTTATTATTAATTTTTTTCATTTTCAGCCAAACTTTTTTCATATAATTTCTTTTTATTTCCTAATTTCTCATTTGACCAACTCACTTTATCCAAATCTCTCATCATTGCAGTCTATTTAAAGTTTTTATATTTATATTACTTTTCTGTAATTTCAGGCTTTATGCCTTTTGTGAGCCAACTTGGTTTTTTGCTTGCAGCCACCCTTTTTGTCTATAAGGAACATGCCTATCTTGAATAATTAAGAATATATATTTTCAAAGATTTTGCACAATTGATCAGTATTTCCAATTAATTGAAATGCCAAATTTACAGCAGATAATCTTTATCTCAAATCTCATTATTTCTTTTTTCCTTATGGAGCAGAACATCAAATTTGATTGAGCAATGATCACTTGCACCCAGATGTTCCCCAGTCTCTACCCTACCAATCATTTCTTTATTAGAAGTTAATAATAAATCAAAAACAACATTGTTACTAGTAGGTTCCCTCAACAATTTCTAAAATCTTGTCTCCCTCATGAGTTGACTCTAACATTTCCCAATCTGTATCTAAAATTAAAATCTCCCATAATATTTATAACCTTATTAACAGTTGAATTCTTTACCTCACTGTAAATTTCTTCATTAATTTCCTCAGTTTCAACTGGTGGTCTGTAACAAGTTCCAACTAAAAGCCTTCTCTCCTTATAACCACTAAGAGAAACCCAATAGATTCAACCACATTGCTATTAGCTTTGATATCAACTTTAATAACAAGATGTAACTCAAATTTTACATATAAAGCCACTCCTCTCCCATATTTTAGTACTCTAAAGTAAACTTTCAAAATGTGGATTTTGAGTAAATGTACTCTCTCTTTAATTTCTACATTAGTGTTGTTTTGCCCTTGCCCAAAATAATTGTATTTTTAATTTATTATATATATACATAAGTGAAAATAACACCCTATATTTATATTTCTTTACAAAATTTTGACACAGGGGTCCATGTCTTACTTAGAGGATTGTGTTAGAAAGATTGAGGAACACTGTTGTACATAAATAATATTCTGCATTAACTGTTTAATTGTCCCTTTTGTTTTCCTCTTTGCTTAAAACGAATAAACAGACTTTTATCTAATTACAAAGTTTTCTTGAGCATTATTTTTATCTTTCATATCCTAAATAATTTTGTAAGAGCTTAACTCATATCCACTGATCTTGACATTTGAGCTTGAAGTAATTTACAAAATGTGACATCTTGTTCCTACCATTAATATATATGGATTTTTTTTTATAGACACACATGTCACAAGTTAGTATTTTTACTGTCTTGGCATAGAACCAAGTAATTACACAGGCCTGCGACGGTTTTATTGTCTTGAAATTTTTACAACTTCAACAGTATTTCCTGTATGCTGAATCCGAAAATGATATCCATTTTTCTCCATCATTTACAGTTTTTACACAAAACTTCATAATGCAATACATAAAAGAAAGACCACAACGCATAGTTTTGAGACTAAAAGATGTAGATTTCACAAAAAAAATCAGAATGAATAAGGATGCATATTCGTTTGACATTAATGTTCTTCCATTTTTTTTCAGTTTGTTTGTATTTTTGTTAACAAACAATAAAAATGTTCATTGTGGTAAACAAAATAATAATTTGATCTAAGTAAGAGTTTTCTTCCTGTTTTGTAAAAAATCCTTACATAATAGAAAAAAATTAATATTATTTTTGAAATCTGCATAGCTGAATTATGGAAAATCAGTTATTAAAACCAAAACAACTTTTATAAAGTTTAAATTTACAGGCTTGTGTAATCAAAGCAGTTTCACTTGTCTTTGTAATATTTTCTTTAGTGCTAATTGTATAGCAGCTTTTCCTCTAACCTGTACAAGTAGTTAATTCTCATTGAAATACATCAAAAAATGAAACAGCATGTTCCAATAAAGGTATTTTGTTATATTTTTGTTACAAGGTATGTGACTTGTAACCATAAGAATAATTCCTTTGCCAAACATTTGAAACCTTTATTATAAATTTTAACATTTTCCTTACCTGAAAATGTATTTCTGATAGATACTCACCTCTACACACAGATTTACCTATCTTCCTTGTGCATCTGCCAAAAAGATTTGAATGTCACTAGCTTCGATGAGATGGGGTTTCCCATAGGTGAACCTCTATGGAGCCACTGCTATAAGGTGTTATAAGTCTTTGGACTTCCTTTGAGTGTTTTCTAAAGTGACCTCATCTAGGTACAATTTGCACTGGCCCCTACACCAATTTAACATGGGATTCTAGCTAAATCTGTATCAAGAGGTGAGTACTGTATCGGAAATTAACATTTTCCTTAGCTGAAATTGTATTTACAAAAGATACTTACCTCCATATACATTCCCATCCATCCTCCCTACTTCTAGTGCACCTTTGTTTTCCTTGCCTCATCAAAGAGTGAGGTTTGCATGAGTGCAAGTGCATAGAGGAGTTATTGCACGATTACATCATCATGCAGTAAAAAATGCATATTAAATCATGTGAATTTAGGTGGAAGTTGCCTCAAGGCTAGTGGCATGCAAGTTTCTTTGGCAGACGTAGGAGGAAGATAGCTAAATCTGTGAGATATAATCTTGGAACTAATTTTATTCTTGGTTATATATTATTATCTAATGGTAAAAAACATTTTATGTTGTCTACTTCTAGAATCATAAAAATAAGCAAAAGTAAACATAAAAAATAAGTCTCAAGATAATAAACTTGAAACAGATATAGTTGACACAATATTACCTGGGGCCAGTTATCAAGATAAGGTTCAATCATCCTTAGTCTCATTGTTAAGGCATTTATGAGAAAAACATCTGTTCGGAGTTTCCTAAAATATAAAATACACAATTATATTTTTAAGAAGGAAAAATAGCACATTTCTACAAATAAATTTAGTATTTCACTGCAATTACATTACTCCAATAACAGTAAAATTGTACAAAATTATTGATAGTTTTATTTCTTTATATATAAGTTTTTAACTAATCTGTACTCCATATGTCCTCTGTAAGATTACATTATAGATGAAATTCCAAAGTTTAAATTACTTTATTGTAATTTTTAATAGAGCTGAAATGTATATACAAATAAAAAATACTTTTAACAGATATTCAAATATTTGCTTTTTTCTAAATGTTATATCTTCAAGTACTTTCCTTCTATTATAAATAGTCTGGACATCTCTTAGAACCATGATTGCAAAGCATAAGCAAATTTCACCAGTTACAACATCTGAATAAAAACTATGAACATGTATGTATCTTTGTCTGTTTATTCATCATTTTAATGCTAATTGGCATCTTAAGCAACAAAGTTCAGCATTCTTTACACAGTACATAATGTTTATAACTCAGATCATTAAGAAAACTGATATATGATCATTTTCTCCCACAGTTCTTTGCAAACCCCCCCCCCCCATTGTCTTAGTGAAAGAATATTGAAATACAATTCTAATACAGGTAATAAATATTAAAATAACAAAATCTATTCCTCATTTCACTTCTTAATTTTTAATGTGAGGTAGTGTTAACTAGTGTATTTAAGTAGTATTTCAGAAGTTCTCAAATGTTTTTAAACATGAGCCCCCTTTAAGCATAACCATATTTCACCCAAATCTAAGAATTCATAGGCCACTAGTCTAACCATTTTCTCACCCCATTATTGGTTACCTCAAAATTTTTGTTATTTAGCCAACCAGTTTATTTCCAAGTTGTTATAAGATGTCCTGTGTCCTTCTTTTAGCATTATTGCAGCCTCCGTGAGACTTGAAAACCAGTTAGTTACCTAATTAAATGTAGTTACTCACACACACACTGGATTTTGGAATGTAAGAGTTCCTTCATCATATTATTTCCATATAGTTCTTTAGGGTGAAGATGAAATATATATATATTTCAATTATAAAGGCTGACTACAGTAACATAGAACATACTTTAAATCAAAATGTTACAGAGTCACCAGTGAACAGGAAACTGTGATTTGAAAAATAGTTTAAGATGATTTTATTGACTCAAGTATGTTGTGCTATTAAAATTCATTAACCAGAGCTAAACTCAAGTACAATAAAAACCAGAATATGTAATAACTACAAAGTAATAATTTAAAAACTCAACAGAAAGATTACAGAGCATAGTTTCACATATTAGCTTTATAGAACAAAATGTATACATTTGACTGAGAAAAACTTTTGTTTAGTATGAAATGATTTTATTAGTACCTACACATTACATTCTTTTGTTTCACTGGTTTCTACTTCCAGCTGTGCTGCCAGTTCTTGATTAGAAGAGGTATAGAAATGGTTGATAAGCTCTACACCTCCACTTGGAAACAGTCCATGAGCCACACCAGGCAAGCCCAGCTGCTCAGCACCTGAAATTCAAATATAAAGCACTATTCACAAATGTAGTTTCATAATGTTAAACACCTACATGGAAAGTAAAGGGCAATTTTTATTTATGTCATTTAACCTTTCATGTCTGGCAATACTAAGTGAGCACATCAGCTGAACAGGTTTGAATACTGTGATTTAAAGCAAATTAAACTTTTAAAAATATTGTTAGATTAGAGGAAAAAGATACAGTTATGGATTTGTGTTTGTTCACATATTTAAAAAAGGCTCTATTAGTACAGTTACAACCTCCAAGCTTCAAAAAATCAATTAGCATACTAGTTATATGCATACAAATGTAATATTGTAACAACACCTCCATACAAATGAACTGTTACACCTTGTCATGGCTGATCTTTTGGCAAATGACTTTAGTTATAGTGAAAGGTAATGCATTTGAGTACCTTAACCTGCATCACATATTCAATATATATATGGGATCCCACACAACAGTACAACTGAAGAAAAGTATCTTGGAACAATGGTGGATAAGTCAGTTGAGCAATTGAAGCAGTGCTTTATTGCTGGTTGCAAAGCTAAAACAGTTAAACTTCAAATATTGTGTGTAGTTTACATCTTATCTAGGAATGGATATTGACATATTGAAGTGGTTTAGAGAACTACTAGGATGATTGCTGGGTTAGAATGGTTATCTTATAAATATAGGTTAAACTATCTTATTTTCTCTTGAAAACAGAAGGGTAAGGGGTGACTTTATTGAAGCTCACAGAATGGTCCAGTGGATTGATAGGATAATGGCTTTTGATTTCTTTGTGCTTTATTCTGAAGAAAACAGGACAAAACAAAAGGATACAAGTTTAAGATTTGAAATGGACAGGTTCCTGTTAAGTCAGAGTGACTGGTACAGTTGGGCAATTAACTTGATTAAATCATATAATCAATTATCTATGAGCATTGATTACATCAATTATATTCACTAACTGTAAAAGGCTTATTCCCTTTGTCACTCCATCAAGAATGCTTTCATGCTCCTTTTTTGGCAATGCTAAACAATATACATCATCACTTAGCAACAAAACTATCACCATTGTTCTTACACCTACTATAGTGTTTATGTTGAATGCTCATTATTCATGTAGATTTGTTACAAAAGTTCATTTTTTTATTCTATTTTTTTAATAGAAAAACTTTGGTGATATAACAGCAAAATAGTTTAATTCAGAAGTTTTATGACATTGAGTTGTAGCCAAAAGAAAAATAAAATTTACCAAGTAGTGTTTCAGCCAAGCCTTATGTTACATTTATGTATTAGGCATAATGCTTAGATTACATATATGCCAACTATTACTAACGTTATAGTCAGTGTTTAAAAAGTTTTAAGAGGTGAATGAATGTTAATTAAAAAATATTCTTTTGGTATTTTAACACACATGTTATCTACTTGGCCTTAAAACATAAAGAAAAATAAACGTTTATTACTACCAAATATCTTTTATCCTTTGTATAGACAAAAGGGTCAAAAATTTTAATTGGAATGTTCACACTATGTTTTCTACTTCCTGACCTAGAATACAGTAAAAAGTTCAAGAGTGCTGTTTAAGTCTCTTTTGTTCACGATAACATTTCATTTTTCTGTGTAGTTTTCACTAAAAATGTGGTGATTAAAGAATTACTTCCAGACTGATGAAATAAGTGAACAGTAAGTGCATTTTTGGGGTACAGACAAATTTGTTTTAGTTAAATTCTATAATTTTCATCAATCATTCAACAATGGTTTCCCATCATTTTTGACAGGCTTTTATATTAGTCACATAACTGACTAATAAAAATTTATATTAAATTGATTAACCCTTTCAAGATGGGTCACAGGTGAAAGACCATGTCATCTCGTTTGTTGACTTGCATTCAAAATTTTATTGA